CAGGATTGAACGCTTAGTTAACGCGGTAGGAAAATTAAATTTCACAGTAAGGCGGAAGGAGTCTTCCGTAGGGAGCCATGATAATCCGAGTATTTTCAACGTTTCGTCCTTTAGGATAAGGTGATCGGTAACGTCCGATTGATCGCTGGATAAATCGTCAAGAAGCTCGCTACAGTTTGAAGCCCATTTACGAAGTGAAAAACCTCCGCGCCTCATTAGCTCAGCGAGCTGAGTTCGCGTATTTATTAACGAATCGATATCGTTTGCTCCGAACAATGCGTCGTCCACGTAAATGGAATCATTGACGATCGGTACCGCGGCAGGAAACTTTGCACCTTCATCAAGCGCGAGCTGTCGAAGCACGCGCATCGAAAGATAAGGTGCCGATGCTAAACCATACGTCACTGTAAGAAGGCGAAAATGAGTAAGCGGAGCGTCATCCGTCGGACGTCACAGGATTCTTTGGTAATCGACGTCCCGCGGATGTACGCGTATTTGTCGAAACATCTGGCGATGTCTGCCGTATAAACCAAGCGCCATGCACGCCAACGCAATAAGACGGCAGGGAGATCCTGCTGCAACTTTGGCCCGATGAGCAAATGGTCGTTAAGTGACGTGCCATTCCGGGTTTTACACGACGCGTTAAATACGACTCGAAGCTTTGTGGTGCAACTATCCTCTCTTATTACTGGATGATGGGGAATATAAATCGGTATATTCTCAGTGGGTTCGGACTCGCCAACGCGAGTCATATGTCCAAGGGCCTCGTATTCTGTAAGAAAGTCTCTGTATAGCGAACAGAGATCGGATTTTGAATTCAATTTATTTTCCAGACGACCGTACAATGTACGCGCTATGGAGAGAGATTCCCCGATATCGATCGGCAAAGCATTTTTGAAAAGTAATCTCACGACATAACGACCGTCAGGATCACGACTGTGCGTTTGAGCGAAATGAGATTCGCATTTTTCTTCCTCCTCCGTGAGGGAAGTTGGCGTGGGAATCTCTTTGTCCTCCCAGAATTTCTGGAGGAGAGAGTCCACATCCAGCGCGGATACGCAATTCAAAACAGTTACTTCTTGTGAAGTAGTTTCTTTACTTCCGGTCGGTCCAGAGATTATCCAACCGAACGAGGTCGATTGGGCAGTGGGCGCTCCATAGGGGCCCTGTCTCAGGTCGCGCAATAAGAGCGAACCGTACACGTCCGCGCCGATCAGCATGTGAATCTGATGTCGACTAGATGGATCCGGATATGCTAGTGAAAGGCCCTGTAAATGAGGCCATGATTCTATAGGCCGAATTCGCGACGTGGCGTACGAAGTTATTCGCGGGAATACATACGCAGTGACCGGAAAAACAGGATTCAATTTTTCGCACGGCGTCAAATTTAGCGAAACTCTCGATCGCGCAGAACCGGCATATTTCTCCCCGAAACCTTTTATTTGAAGATCGGTCCTCTGTCGTTTAGTGCGAAGCGTTTGACTCAATGCTTCGGAAATAAAGCTAAAATTAGACCCTTGATCTAATAAAGCGCGGACCTTAAAACATCTTCCTTCAGAAGTGTGTATGTCAACCCACGCGGTCGCGAGAAGAACGGTGGGCATCGTGGTATTCTAAGGTTTGAGAGTTTGCACGCTGGCGACGGCGGCGTCGCCGACTACGACAGTCTTACTCGTGGTAGTAGACGCATTAACGCTCGAATTCGATAAACGGGAATTTTCCGCTGTGTCCTTATTTTGATCACTCTCATTGTGTAACAATGTGTTATGAGAGCGTTGACAATGAGCGCATCGAATTTTGCTCGAGCATTTCGGCGTGAAATGTCCCGCTCGCAAACAATTGAAGCAGACCCGATTCTGTCGCGCGATGACATGCCGCTATGTCGCGTTTTTCCGACGAAATTCCTCGCACTTCATTACCGAATGACTGCCGGAACAGCAAATGCACTTAATCGCGGAAAGATTATGAACGGAGGACTGCGTTTTGTCACTCTTAGAATTGACGATTACTTTAGGATTGTCGGAGAAGTCCGACAGACCTCGTATTCGAAGCGTGAGGAATTCATGAATATCCTTGTACGAAGGAAGCTCGCGACTTGACGAAATTTTTAAATTCCATTCGCTCCTTGTTTTCGAACTAAATTTTTGAGAGATGACGTAGACGAGAATGTCATCCCACTCGCGTACCGGCCGCTTTAGATTAGTGAGAGCCGCTAGAGATGCGGACACGGTATCTCTCAACTTTCGCATTTCCGCGACGTTTTCCGCCTTCATTGTCGGTAGGCACATGAAGGCGTGAATGTGAGTATGGATCAACGTAAGTTGATCATCATACTCGTCAATCAACAACTGCCAGACGGACTCATAATTAGCGTCGGAAATCTTTAAATTACTAATAATCGAGGCAGCGTCACTGATGACGCTCGTTTTGAGGTAATGAAATTTCTGCGTGTTCGAGAGAGAATCATTACTCGCGACAAGAGACTCGAAAGTATTTTTAAAACTCTCCCATTCGGAGAACTTGCCCGAAAACTTCGGAAGTGAGATCCGTGGCAACTGAAAATTGTGATTATGAATGCCCTCGCGAATTGAAGAATCAGTACTGTGTTCTAACAACGGAGATTGATTAATTGAGAATCGACTTATCGTATCGCGAAGGAGGTCGGCCGTGTCGTGGTAGATCTCCTCGGCGCTCAGGAAGTCTCCATTCAGGAAATACGAGACAGTCTTCTGCTCCTCCGAAGTTGTGGCTTGCAGCAGCTTGACGTGTAGCCCTCGACAGGAAGTCCAAAGCGTTTCCAGCGTTGCAAGACGCCCCTGCGTCTTTGCTAATGTAACATTAGCTTTCGCTAATTTCTTGAAGTTAACGAGAACTCGCTTTATCGAGTCGATTGTTTCAACTTGCGAGATGAGCAAATTTCTTAATTCTGCCATTATTTCTTCGTTAATGAGCTATTAATAGTGACTTGATCGAAGGTACCGGGCTCGTGAGCACGGTGCCGACGGCAACGAATGCGCGACGACTTTTGGTCGAATCGCGACACTGTTATGTCGCTTAAGAATACACGGGATATGCCGGGGAGCGTTACCGCTGCGCCGACGGCAACCTTTCCGCGGATGTTTTCTTATCGACAAGCGGATTTCTCCGGTGCCTGAAGAATTAACGCCGTGACGTTCAATTGCCACGCCGACGGCGTCGAACTCGCGACGATTCCCTTTTAATCGTCGCGTCCAGTCTCGATTAGCACAGTGTATGATGTTCCGGGCGTGTTATCGACGCCGACGGCAACACCTTCGCGGAATACTTCACTTCGTTCCGCGAAACACGATGTAATTTTGACTTTGAGTTCACGAATTGTTTCCACCACCAGACCCCCGCGTTTGAACCTTGTAAATGAACTCGCGAATAAGGCGCGAAGCTCAACATTTAGATTCCCGCGGGAATGTTCGTTAAAGTTAACTCCACGACGGGAAAATAACTCCACTTGTCGCTCAAGCAGAGTGAGTGAGCCCAGAGAGAAAACCCGTTGGATAGTGAACGCGACACTGTCTTTGTTCTTCTTCTGCACTCATTCGATTGTAAAACGAGGAGTCACAGTCCGACGTCTCACTGACAATGTTCACCCGTTCCGTCTCACAACGCGAATCTCGCGTAGTTTGATTATCCGTATGATCGGGTCAACGAAAAATCCGGCTCGAAGGACCAATGTTTTTCCTTTTATTTAATTTTAATAACAGTAATTTTATTGTATCATATCAGATTTGTACACTGTATCTGGTTCCGACGCTTCGGACCCTTTTGATAGACTATTGAATACGTGATTGAGGTTCGATTGTCGTTCTTCAAGAACAAAGAAAGACAGGATATCGCGGATCCGTTACAAGCATACCGCTTTATCGTTGGGTGCTCTCGACTGTGTCTTTGGGCTAACTGAACTCCCTTTTTAACCTCGGGGAAGACAACCGATTCGGAATCACGAGCTTTGCATGAACTCGGCGCGTGACACGCGCGCGGCTAATCGTGATTCGCTGGCCGGTTGACCTGTCGATGTCCGCTCGAGGTGCCAAACAAAGTCGATCGTTGGTCGAGCCTTGAGTCCCTGGCTTCGACTCGGAACCAGAACAATATATATATATATATTTTTTTTTTCTCGACAGCTTTGTTCCAAGTTTTAAACAGTGATAAATATTATTATTTTGAATGTGATAATTATTAATCAGAGAAATTCTAATAAAATTCTTTTCATACCATATTCTCTTACAATTACCATAACTTTTAGGGTAAATTCTAAGAGAAAATTCTCTCAGTGTTTTGATTAATTATTAAAAATTACTTGTAAAAACGCGCGGCGCGCACAGCACACGTTGCTCGATGCGGACGGCAATAGTTTACACGGCAAAGACACGACAATCATAATCACAATCTAAGAGAATTTTTTCTTAGAATTTACCTAGAAAATTATGGTAATCGTAGGACATTATGATGTGTGTATAAGATTTAACGTTGTAGGATGCCGGGTTAACGTGATCAAATGATTGTACGCGTTTTGAAACGGTTTAAATTAGTTTATTCACTTTCTACAAGTTCGTCGCGTACCGAGACTTATGTTTCTCGGCGCTCGCTCTCTCGAGGACTGACTCGAGGGCTGCGCGAATTTCGGAGCTCGCGTAGGGCGGCAGCCGATCGGGGTCCTCGATTGGACCATCAGAAAATCAGGCGATGTACACACGCCAATTAGCGGCGAGTGTACACGTTGGTTTCACGTGTTTCCTTGGCGTAAACACTAAGGAATTTAACAAAAAAACATTCTAGAAAATTCGATCGTCCTCGAGGATTCGATCCGAAGAACGAATCTTCAACATACCGCCCGCCTCGTATGCGAACGAATGCGAAATAAACTTAAACGAAGCGGGAGCGAATCGTCGAGGAAGATGATTACAAAAAACATACAGGTGAAGACGACTCGCACTGAGAAAGTCGTCTCGAAGATTACATAACTCTTACAAGTTAGCGGCTTCATCCGTTGCGGACGCGTTAGAGTTATCACGTATTGGCAGTCGGCATAATTGCGCAATAGGTCGTTTCAATGTGGACCGTGCGGTGCGTATGGTCACAACTCGAACGAGTCCATCAGATCCGGGATGGATTTGCTGTACTCGGGCAAGCTCCCATTTGCTCGGAGGGAACACGGGACTTTTAACTAATACTAATTCGCTTATTGCGAAGTTAGGAGACTGCTTGCACCACCTGTTTCGCTGTTGAAGCGAATGTAAATAATCCTGTGACCAGGCACGCCACACGGTTTCCTGCATGGCACGGACTAGTTGCCATCGCGAGAGCCTACGCGGGTCGATCGCGAGTACCGATTCCTCCGGAACGGCTACGAGGGGCCGTCCAATCAGAAAGTGACCCGGGGTAAGCGCCGACAAGTCACCCGGGTCGTCCCTAAGCGGAGCGATTGGTCGCGAGTTAAGGCACGCTTCTATTTTACATAGAAGCGTCGCGAGTTCAGCCCTCGAAAGTGTGTGGGAACCAACAGCGCGCCTCAGATGCGTTTTAAGGCTCTTGACTCCGGCCTCCCAAAGGCCGCCGAAATGTGGAGCGGCGGAGGGAATGAAATGCCAGTTCACTCCGTCGCCTGCGAGTGCGTTTCGCAATTCAGCATCCTTCCATAAGGATTGAAAGTGTCGATGAAGTTCGTGGTTGGCTCCATGAAAATTTGTGCCGTTGTCGCTATACATGTGACGCGGCAGACCTCTTCGGCTAGCGAACTTCTGATAGGCTGCAAGAAAGCCGGGCGTGGAGTAATCTTCCACTAATTCGAGGTGAATCGCCCTTGTAGCAAGACAAACAAACAGAGCGATATATACCTTTCTGGCCTTTTGCCCTCTGCCGACGAATGAAATTACGTGGAGTGGGCCGGCGTAATCAACCCCACAATGAGTAAAAGGCGCCGAAGGGGTGACACGAGCGGCTGGAAGGTCGCCCATGAACTGAGAAGACAATTTAGCCGCGTGACGAGTGCAGACTACACATTTTCGAATGTGCGCCTTTACTGAGCTGCGGCCTCCAATGATCCAGTATCGCTGACGCAGCACACGGAGTACTAGCTGTGTCCCCCGTGGAGCGTGGATTTATGAGCGCGATCAATTAAGAGATCGGATAAGTGATGTTTCGGAATTATTATAGGATGTTGCTCGTCATAGCTGAGCGCGGAATTCGTCAACCGCCCGCCAAGACGGAGTAAAGAGTCCTCTCCTAGAAAAGGACTCAATTTGCTCAACGAGCTCGAATGCGGCATGGTGCCGTTATTCTTTAGTGAGCGCGTTTCCCGCTCGAAGAATCTCTGTTGCAGATAGCGCAACCAGAAGATTTCCGCCCTCCTAAACTCATCGGCGTTCAGAAGGGGGAAGAGTTGGGAGCGAGACGCGCTCTTTTCTTTTACACGAAGAATAAAGCGATTCATATAGGCAGTCACGCGGACAAGCTTGGTCCAAGTGGAGAACCTATATGGGAGTTCCCATTCCTCGGCCTCTTGAACATGGAACGTCACAGGCCGTCTTCTTTCCACCGACACTTGCTGATCGGTGGCAGTGTCGAGCGGAGCTGAGACATTCAGAATCGGCCACGCAGTCGATGGCTTCTGAAGCCATCGTGGACCGTTCCACCATAGCGGGTGAGTCACGAGCTCGGAGGCGGTCAAGCCGCGCGAGGCACAGTCCGCCGGATTATCTCGAGACGGAACGTGATTCCAACAAACAGAATCCAGACAGGTATGCACTTCGGATACGCGGTTAGCCACGTAGGTGCTCCATTTTGATGGATGTTGACGGAGCCACGCGAGAGCGATGGTCGAATCCGTCCATCCGTATATTGGAATCGGAGGTAATTTCAACGATGTCAAGGTCCACTTGATTAGCCGGCTGAGGAGGACGATAGCGTTCAGTTCCAAGCGCGGGATGCTTACGGTTTTGATCGGCGCGACCTTTGTTTTAGCAGCGAGCAGAGTGATTTGAAACTTCGTTGGCGAAGGAAGCACTCGAATATAAACGACCGCCGCGTAAGCGCGGTTTGAAGCGTCGGCAAACCCGTGGATTTTGAACGCGAGGTTATTGGAATGTCGACCGGTCCAACGCGGTATTCGGACGCGGTTTAATGATTCTAAATCGTTGGTGTAGCTCTCCCAACGATCGCGCAACTCCTCTGGAAGAGGGGAGTCCCAATCACATTTGAGAAGCCATAACTCTTGTAGCAAGATTTTCGCGGTTACAACAACCGGAGCAGCCCATCCTATTGGGTCGTATAATTTTGCCGTGAACGAGAGAACGGAACGTTTCGTGTGCGTAACCGATCTCAACGGAGTTATCACGAATTTGAACGCGTCCTCTTTAGCAAGCCATGAAAGCCCGAGAATCTTCTTTTACGAGTAAGTGATCGGTGACTTCCGGCTGATGAGCCGAAAGTCCTTGAAGAAGAGAGGAGGCATTAGAAACCCACTTTCGTAGTTGAAAACCTCCCTTTTGCAGGATTTCAACTAGTTGGACACGAGCTTCTATCAATGAAGTCGTATCGTCCGCGCCAAAGAGCGCATCGTCCACGTAGAGGGACTCGCTGAGAATTGAAACAGCCGCGGGATAGTTGTCACCTTTATCTAGAGAAAGCTGTTTCAGTACCCTTATTGCGAGGTACGGAGCGGGGGCGAGCCCGTACGTTACAGTGAGAAGGCGATAGTGTTCAATCGGCCCATCGGCCGACGATCGCCATAAGATTCTTTGAAAATCCGCGTCAGACGGATGCACGAGAATTTAGCGGAATATTTGAGCAATGTCCGCCGTGTAAACAAATTGCCATTGACGCCAGCGCAATAATATAGCGGAGAGGTCTTGCTGCAGTCTCTGACCGATCAGTAAGTGATCGTTAAGCGAAGTCTTATTGCTCGTTTTGCACGAAGCGTTGAAGACAACGCGCAATTTCGTAGTGCAACTCGAGTCGCGCAAAACGGGATGATGAGGAATATATACCGGCTCGAACTCGGAGCGGTCAGATAATTCCACCTTCCTTATATGACCGAGCGAATTATACTCTCGTAAGAACTCGTTGTACTGCGCGTGAAGTTCAGGACGAAGCCGTAGCTTTCCTTCCATTTTATTATAAAGCGAGGTTGCAATGTGCAAAGAATCACCGATTTTTATCGGGAAATCATGCCTGAAGGGCAATCGAACCGCATAGCGTCCCTGAGGGGTACGATAGTGGTTGGCGATGAAATGAGCCTCGCACCTCTCCTCCTTCTCCGTGAGAGGGACAGGCCGCGAGATCTCCTCATCTTCCCAGAACTTCTGGAGAAGAGAGTGCGTGCTTTGTTCCAACACGCAGTTTAATACAGATGCTTGAGCAGTAGTAGTCGGCCTACTATTTGTGGGGCCGGAAAGGATCCAACCGAGAGCGGTCAATTGCGCTGTCGGAGTTCCAATAGGACCTTGACGGACATCGCGCTTCAGAAGCGAGCCGTAAAGGTCAGCACCGATCAACAAATAAATTTGATGTTGACTTGAAGGATCAGGATCAGCAAAAGATAGACCCTGTAAATGAGGCCACGCATCGAAGGGCTGAATCCGCGAGGCAGCGTATGAAGTAATGCGTTGAAAAATGTAAGCCGTCAGAGGAAAGCTCGGGTCGGCTTGAGCACACGGGGTTAACTGTAGTGTTACGCGCGATTTCGCAGTACCCGTGTATTTTTCGCCGAAGCATTTAATTTGTAAATCGGCTCGTTGCCGTTTAGTGCGCAACGCCTGTGAGAGCGATTCTGATATAAAGCTAAAGGTGGATCCTTGATCCAACAACGCGCGAACCTTTAAGCAGCGACCCTCCCCAGTGTGGAGGTCGACCCATGCCGTTGCCAAGAGGACATTTGGATGTTCCTGAAGCGAGGGCGGTACTATCTGGACGGCCGCGATCGTATTGACCGTCTGATTTGTAGTCGCCTTAGATGCGGCTTGTGACGCAGATTCGGAGGTAGTAGCCTCGGAACTGGCCAAGTTATCGAAGGCATTTTGATTTGCCGCTGAATGCAGCAATGTGTGATGCGAGCGACGACATTGTCTGCACCGATATTTGCTCGGGCATTTCGACGGGAAATGTCCGGACTTTAAGCAGTTAAAGCAAAGTTTATGCTGGCGCGCGAGAGCAAAGCGCTGTGAAGCTGATTTCTTCGCGTAGTCTTCGCATTTCGAAACGTGATGCTCACCGGAGCAACAAATACATTTAAAGGCAGTCACGTTGTTTACCGTTAAACGCGGTTTATCATTTTTCGAAGAACCGGAGTCCTTGCTTGAATCGGCAAAGTCCGACAATCCGCGTATACGGAGAGTTAAAAACTCATTAAGCTCCTGATAAGAAGAAGGCTCATTTCGTTTGATTCGCGTTAAATTCCATTCGGTACGTGTTCTCGCGCTAAACTTTTGCGTTATTGTATAAACAAGAATGTCGTCCCATTGTTCTACGGGACGATCGAGATTTTTTAATACGGCTAACGATGCAGACACTGTGTCGCGCAATTTTCGCAAATCGCTTACAATCTCGCTTTTCATTACCGGAAGGCTAATAAACGCGTGTAAATGAGCATAGATTAACGCTTGCTTATCGTCGTATTCATTGGTTAACAATTGCCAGGCAGATTCGTAATTCGCATCGGAAATTTTTAAATTATTGATCAGCAAGGAAGCGTCTCCCGTTACGCTCGTTTTTAAGTAATGAAATTTTTGAGAATTTGAAAGAGCGTCGTTAGTTACTACGAGAGATTCAAAAATGTTTCGGAAGTTTTCCCAATCGGTTAATTTCCCAGAAAACTTTGGCAGCGCGATGCGTGGCAATTGGAAGCAATGATTATTTGTTTCGCGAACGGAGGAATTGGAACTACGATCGGTAAACGGAATTGTATTAGGAGATAATCGACTTATCGTATCTTGCAGCAGATCGGCCGTGTCGATGTAGACATCCTCAGCTCTCAGGAACTCTTCCAGAGTGAAGTACGGCAAGGTCGTTTGCTGCTCCGTGGTCGTCTTTTGAAGCAGTTTGACATGAAGGCCGCGGCAGGCGGCCCAGTGCTCCTCCAACTTGGCAAGCCTACTTCGCGTCTTGGCGAGTGTCACGTTTGATTTGGCCAGCTTCTTGAAGTTGACGAGATCTCGTTTGATCTCGTCAATACAAGCTCCCTGCTCGATGAGCAGGTCACTCACGGCATTCGACATGATTATCGATGCCGGATTGTTGAATCGTTTATCGATTATTCGCTACTGAAGCGAAATATTCAAGCGCGCGCGCAGACTTGAAGCGCCCGCTGATTGACGCGCGAGAGAGAGTGAGAGAGTCCGAGCGCGAGTTAGCGCACCGTCACGTTAAGCCGTTATCGGCTGTCTTTCTCACACGAAGCGATTGCGTGGCGCGTGATAGCGGCGTCGAAATTGCAAATCGCGTGGTTTTTTAAATCTTTAGAAACGTCGAAAATCACCGAAATGATCGAGAGAGTCAAAGAGAGATGCACGACGCGGACGCGTGATAGCGGCGTCGAAATAGCAAGTCGCGCACCTTTTAAATGTTTAGAAACGTCGAAAAGCAACAAGATGATCGAGAGCACAGATTAATAGACAGATCGCCAAAGGTCTGGATGAAGGAGAGACCAGCATTTCTCACTGATTTCAGCGCCATATTGTAGTAGTGGTCAATGCAGTAACTATTAATACGTTCCCAAGATAAGAGCGTCTCATGCTCATGAACTCGTCCGGCGGCATGTACGAGATTTATCTTTTCGTAGCGTTCGCGTATTTCGGAAAGGACAG